CTCCCTGCCCCTCAAGGCCAGGCGGGTGCCCCTAACTCCCCGCCCCTCAAGGCCAGACAGGCGCCCCTAACTCCCTGCCCCTCAAGGCCAGGCGGATGCCCCTAGCTCCCTGCCCTGCAAGGCGAGACAGGTGCCCTGTGGCCACCCACAGGACGATGGTGAGCTCACTGGTGAATTGTGACACTGGTGGCAGGCAGCTAGCTTGTGAAAGGAGTATGACCCCGTTCCGATCTGGTTTCTAGATAATTCCTCTGCAGACACATTCCTCGGAGGCACAGGCCCCTCCTGCCCACATGCCCAAAGCACGGGAGACAGCGTTTGTTTCACCACGCTTGCTGCTAACGAGCTCCCGGGCTGTGTGTCCTCTAGGGAAGATCTGGGCATCTGGTCAGGAGGGGCTGTCCTTGGAAAAAGATACCCTGGGAAAGATGGTCAGAGAAAGAGAGACCCTTAAGGAGATGGATTGCCAGTGGGGACTGCAGCAGTGGACTCGAGCCTGTCAGAGAGGCTGAGGACGGCACAGGAGAGGGCTCAGATCTGCTGTTCACAGGGTCGCTGGCTTACAGTGAACTCGACGGGACCACATCTGTCAACAACGAACCTCTGTCAGGAGCCCATTGAGTGTGGCTCTGTTTGGTTTAAATCCTCTGATGTTGAGCTGACTCCTTGTCCTGCCCTCATCTCTGTGTGTGAGTTCTGATGTCAGCAGGGAGCAGCTCAGAGAACAGGCAGTGGGAACACCCCCAGCCCGTCTGGAGCCAGGGTCCTAGCATTCAGACTATGGGTACCCGAGTTACCGCATCTCTTGGGACTGTAGTTTGTCTTCCTCACCCTGGGATCATAAGGATTAGCGTAACAGTAATGCACAGAGGTCCTCGGACCAGACGTGGTGGTCACGGCTGCAGAAGCTGAAGGCTGAGCACAGAGCTCCCGCTTTCTGTCCCCCTGGGAGGAGACCTGCTGTCTGCTGGCGTCCTTTGGTCTAGGCCGTGAAAGGATGCCCATGTCTGGTTCTCCTCCTGGAGTGCTCTTAGCCTCGTAGAGAGATCACAGCCTTTCCAGACTGTGCGTGAGGGTTCTTCAGCTCAGTACGCCGTGTTCCCAAGCTGGCCTCGTGCAGGGGATTTCCTTCCAGGAAATACGTCTTCTGATCAGCTTTTGAACTATTTCTGGCAAAGGGGCAAAGTCATCTGATGCCATTTGCTTTCCGCCCTATTGTCCCAAGTTATAACACCCGGAGGTAATGGTCTTTCTTTACCTCTGAAATTAGGAAGACCCATAAAATGGAGCAGGAAGGCTCCTTGTTTTATAAATCAGAGCCCACAGTGTGATTGAGGCTGGGCCAGAGACCTCGGCTCTGAAGTGAAAGTGCAGAAGTTCCGTCTGGAGAGGATGTGGGACGAGGTCCCTGGGTTTGGCTAGCTGACGGAGGAAACAAAAGAAAAACCAGGGGCGAGGGCTTCACATTTAAACTAAAGAAGTTCCGACCATAGAGTCGGAACCGACCATAGCTGGCCCTCAGGGTGGTGGTTTTTCAGAGGCAGTTAATCGCACTGGAGGAGACTGCCCATGCTTCTCCCGTGAACCCTCTGGTGACCTCAAACCATGTGCCTTCAGGATTGCAGTGCAGTTTCTTGCTGCTAGGCAACCAGAGTTCCCCAAGAAGTCGCTGGTGACTGCTAAGCGTGACCGCTAAGCGTGACCGCCAACGTATTTCTTGAAGACAGGGTTTATAAGCCTTCTCACCAAGGCTCTGTGTCACCCATGATGCTGGCCTCCAGATTGCTTCCACTCTGTTTGTTCATCGTCCCCTTTCTCTGAAGGTGTAGGGATCGTGGAGAGCTGTGGGGAGGTGTCCTTGGTGGCTTGTCCAAGGATCCAGTCATGCTGAAGTCCTGGTTCTAGGTCTCAGACGTCCCCTTCTGCTCATTCTTTGGGCATGTTGTCAGGAGGGCCAGTCCCTGGGAAGAGACGTTGTTGTTGTTATGTGCTGTCAAGTCATAGTCACCCTGTATACAACAGCCCTAAACGCTGCTCTCTCCTTGTCCAGTCACACTGTCTCCGACACACCCATCCCGATTACCCCAGTCACTGAATCAATCCACCTCCAAGAGGGCCTCCCCCTCCTGTGCTGTCCCTCCACCCTACCAAGCATGATGTCCCTCTCCAAGGACCTGTCTCTCCTTACATGTTGTACTGGGGAAAAGAGACAGAGAGGAAGACCCTTAACAGGATGGATTGGCTCAGTGAATTTGATGGGTGGGGAGGTGGATTCAGGACTGGAGATGGTGGAGGTGGCTCAGGACAGGGCAAGACTCAGGTCTGCCGAGGTGCCTACCTAGAGTTGTGGTCAGCTCAGAGGTACCTCATGACAACGACTTCCTCACAGGTGCTACTACTGTCTCAAGACTACGGCAAACACTTGCTGGGCGTGGAAGACCTGCTGCAGAAGCATGCCCTGGTGGAAGCGGACATTGGAATCCAGGCTGAGCGGGTGAGGGGCGTCAACGCCTCAGCACAGAAGTTCGCAACCGATGGAGAAGGTGAGGGCAGGCTGCTCCGCGTGGCCTCCCGGCCCCCAGGGGAACAGGACGTGAAACCAGACACGGCTGGTTGTCCTCGTAGCAGTGAGGCACCTTGCAGTTAGTGCAGCTTTGCAGGTCCCTCGTGAGCTGGTTCCCTGGAGGGGCGTTAGATGCACAGAGGAGCCTTCCGGACGCACTGAAGCTGAGCTGTAGTTGCAAAATGAACCAGACGTGCCGTTTCCCCCTCAGATGCTCCCCATGCGGCCGGCTCTCCAGTGGTCTCACACTTGGCAGTGCTGACCTGCCAGTCCACGTCCCAGTGGCCTGGGGTGGCTGCCCCAGCATCTCCTGCCCCTCACACCTCTCCCTGCTGCTGCCTCCTGTTAGCTGGAAGGATTTGGACTTGCTTGTTGGAGAAAAAGCTCAGCCCTGCTCTCTCCTCTCACATGATTCATGTCCTTTCTTGATTGCTAGCTGAACACTAGCAAGGGGAGTGGGGAGATGTGTATCACTACCCTTCCCGACTCAGGGTCCTGCAGGTTGCTCTCACTGCCATCGCTCCTAACACAGCCCCTTCGTCAGAGTCAAACCCACGATCTTATAGCAACAGGGCGAGCTGGGATTTGCTGGAGCCCCGGTCGACTCCGTGGGTCACTCACACACCCCACTTTGGTGTTGCAGGTTACAAGCCCTGCGACCCGCAGGTGATCCGGGACCGCGTGGCACACATGGACTTCTGCTACCAGGAGCTCTGCCAGCTGGCGGCCGAGCGCCGGGCCCGCCTGGAGGAGTCGCGGCGCCTCTGGAAGTTCTTCTGGGAGATGGCCGAGGAGGAGGGCTGGATCCGGGAGAAGGAGAAGATCCTTTCCTCCGACGACTACGGCAAGGACCTGACCAGCGTCATGCGCCTGCTCAGCAAGCACCGGGCCTTCGAGGACGAGATGAGCGGCCGCAGCGGCCACTTCGAGCAGGCCATCAAGGAGGGCGAGGACATGATCGCCGAGGAGCACTTCGGCTCGGAGAAGATCCGCGAGCGCATCGCCGACATCCGCGAGCAATGGGCCAGCCTGGCGCAGCTGTCGGCCGTGCGCAAGAAGCGGCTGGAGGAGGCGTCGCTGCTGCACCAGTTCCAGGCGGACGCCGACGACATCGACGCCTGGATGCTGGACATCCTCAAGATCGTGTCCAGCAACGACGTGGGCCACGACGAGTACTCGACGCAGTCGCTGGTCAGGAAGCACAAGGACGTGGCGGAGGAGATCGCCAACTACCGGCCCACCATCGACTCGCTGCACGAGCAGGCGGGCGCCCTGCCGCAGGAGCACGCCGAGTCCCCCGAGGTGCGCGGCCGCCTGGCCGGCGTGGAGGAGCGCTACCGGGAGGTGGCCGAGCTGACGCGCCTGCGCAAGCAGGCCCTGCAGGACACGCTGGCGCTCTACAAGATGTTCAGCGAGGCCGACGCCTGCGAGCTCTGGATCGACGAGAAGGAGCAGTGGCTCAACAACATGCAGATCCCCGAGAAGCTGGAGGACCTGGAGGTGATCCAGCACAGGTGAGCTGCCAGCCCTCCCCGGAGCCCCGCCCCCGTAGACCCCGGAGCCCCGCCCCCG